ATACTAGTACATGTTTATATCATAAATACATAAATAATACGTGCTCAACAAACATTTGGAGAGTGAAAAAAATAAAAACATAAGCATCTTTCTGATTTTTCTGAATCAAATAACAAAAACATCAATGAATACCTCAGCAAATGTTTTAATAAACTGTCCTGCCCATAAGGATTCACTTTAATAATAGTAGGTCTGAGCAAGCCAGTCCAGGAACAATGACATGTGCTAGGGATGGGCAGTTTGGGGTCAGGAGTTAGGAATGAGCTCAGGGAGTGAAATGCTGGTGAAGGAAAGGAGCTACACCAAGGATGGGGGGGAGAAGTGACATTATACTGGATCAGCATGAACTTCTAGAGAAGCTGCCCATCCAAACCTTCATTTCCAAAAGTGGGGCCTCAGAATGACTTTGGGTTGAGAGTGAAAAAGACAGTGACTTTACTGCTCAAAAGCCAGCATAAGGAGCACTGGGCTTCCTGAGGCTGTGGGGACACATGTTCACTCTTTCCTTGCTGTGTGCAGGTGTGCTGTGCATGTGCCTTTGGACACAGTGGGGACCACCATGTCCCAGGCCTTTGGCCTCTGGGTGTGGCCAGTGGAGGGTGAACAGAAGTGATGTATTACTCCAGGCCTGGGATTTAAAACACAGCATAAGCAATCCTCTTCCCACTTTTCCTTTCCATGAACTGGAACAGGAGGATGCTTGTGACCCACCTTTGACCATGCAAATGAGTGCAGAGACCTTGAGTGGGAGCCAGAGGGAAGGAATTTGGATCCCTGAATGTTCATGTGGAGCAGAGGAGCCCACCACTAGGTGAGAGAAATCATCTTCCTTAACCCACTAGTGTGTTGGGCTCTTTGCTACAGCAGCTTACACTTCCCTGTAACTAATATCAAAACCAAGAGCTCATATGAAAGATCAAGGCAGTTCTTAGGATTTGTTGAAGCCCAAATGGCACCAAAGCCCCCACTGTGCCTGGGGCACAGCAGGTACTTCATAACTGCTCCTACATGAGTGCGTGCGGCATCTTTAGGAGCTGTTGGAACAAGAGATGCCCAGTTGTCTCAGACAACAGTCTGCATGAAGGAAATCTAAGTGGCATGTTGCAGCCTACAATGAGGAAAGCAGACAGCACACGAATCGCAACCCTGGGCTAAAGTCCCGTGGGAATCTGTGTGCACATGTCAAAGGCATCGCTCATTGCACAGCAGTCATGTAAGGGACTGGCAGATAGTAATCACAGTCACTGTCATTTTCCAAAACAAAAGGCTTAGACATGCACAGACGTGCACAGACAAGAAAACTCCTCGTGACAAGTTTGATGAGACATCAAGGTGGCTGTGCTGTACGTGACCCATAAGAAATGAACACCCTTTGCTGCAGCATCAGAATGAATACAAGCAGCTGTCCACCTGCTCTGCCAAGGGCAGTTTGGGGAGCACATGATATACGACTCCAACTCCACTTGCTCAACATTTTTGAAGGCCTACTATGTGAGAAGTACTGCATTAAATGCAGTGAAGATTTCAAAGATAATGACCGAAATATATAAAAAGATATCAGAGGCAGAGAGCTTTGCATAAAGCAGTGGTTTAAGTTTCTAGAAATGGCCATTAAGAGGCACCCGAAAGCTCTGGCTATGTTGAACTTTCTGTGGCGTGTCTTTCCAATGCTTATCACAGAGGTTGCTCTGAGGCTTAGATAAAAAGTGTACATAAGGTACCTGGCATAGTGACCATCGGCAAAGGTTAGTTCCTTTCCCCACATCCTGTAATATACAAAATGTTGCACTGGTGATTTGTTCCAGAGCCATGAAGAATATTTTTGCCCACCCCAAGCCCCTGCATATATGCAGATGCTCACACACTCTCCACCCAGAACAAGGAAAGGGTCGCATTTTGCAAGGTTGTCTGTGATGGATATCAGGTGCGAGCAAGAAGATTCCACCCTGGTGATTTATGCTAAAAGCTGGTTTATTGGAAAGAAATTCAGTAACTTACAGAAGCCACAGTAAGTCCAAAAATGATTGCTCATTTCCATTTTTCTTTGGCCATATGGACTGTTGTTATAATGTCTCTGTTGGCACAGCCACCTTGGGACACTTCAGTGGTTTCTTGACTATCTCCTGGCGCCAATCCCACTTCTGCACCACCCAGGCTGCTGGGCCCTCACGCCGAAAGCCTGGGCCACTGGCCTGGCCCCCTAGACAGACAGCTCTGGAGGCGGCTCCTGCTGCTGTGTGCTCAGCACTTTGCTGCATACATCACCGTCACCTGCAGCCACCTGCTTTCCAGCCTCCCTGAGAGAGGCTGGGCCAGTCCACCTGCCCGCATCTGCGGGGCTTCCCCGAGGCCGCCCTGCGGGTGGGCTAACACAGCCTGGGAGTGCTAGAGAGTTAACACCCGGAGAGAGAGGCTGGCCGACAGGGATGGAGGAGGGAAAGAGGCCGGCAGGCAACCCTTGCTGGGCTCTGCCTGCCCGACTGTCCTGAGATGGACCCGCGCGTGCCGCGGACCTGTCGCACATGGCTGAGCACCAACTGTGTCCCGAGGGCATGGCCAAGCAGATGTGTCTTATTCCTCACCTTAGGATACGCTAATTGACTTTAGAGAGGGGAAGGAAGAGGGAGAGAGAAACAGATTGGTTGCCTCCTGTACATGCCCCGACTGGGGACTGAACCCGGGCCCCAGGCCTGCAACCTTCCGGCGCTGGGACACGGCCATTCTTGTGATCACCGCTTCACATGTGTTCCTGCTGCCCCGCCCCACTGCCCTTTCTCATGCGGCTTCCCTGGGGTTGCTGCTCCTCAATAAAAACTTGGCATCTTGTTTTTTCCAAGCTCTTTTGTGTAGGAAACCAGTTCTAAGCCAGGGCCACATCCTCAAATTTCTGATTGCCAGGCTGGAGCAGTCAGTGGCTGATACTGGGCCACAATGCCCACGTCCTGTGGCAGCGAGCTGGGAGTGGAACGACTGTCACACTTAGGATGCTACGGTGAGGGGGGTTCCTGCCTCTAATATACTTGGAATGAACCCCGAGCAGGAAGAGTGTTTGTATTCTGAACAGTCACAGAGTGACAAATGTCTCCTCAAATGTCTCCTCTGAACCAGCTTGGCCTTAGCAGCACTCTCCCTCTCTGGGTTTCTACATGTGGGGTGTCTCCCCTCTGTGCAGCCTCACCCAGGGGTCCTCACTCCTCCTCCCGACCCTGCATGCGGGGTGTCCTCCCTCTGTGCAGCCTCACCCAGGGGTCCTCACTCCTCCTCCCGACCCTGCATGTGGGGTGTCCTCCCTCTGTGCAGCCTCACCCAGGGGTCCTCACTCCTCCTCCCGACCCTGCATGTGGGGTGTCCTCCCTCTGTGCAGCCTCACCCAGGGGTCCTCACTCCTCCTCCCGACCCTGCATGTGGGGTGTCCTCCCTCTGTGCAGCCTCACCCAGGGGTCCTCACTCCTCCTCCCGACCCTGCATGTGGGGTGTCCCCCCTCTGTGCAGCCTCACCCAGGGGTCCTCACTCCTCCTCCCGACCCTGCATGTGGGGTGTCCTCCCTCTGTGCAGCCTCACCCAGGGGTCCTCACTCCTCCTCCCGACCCTGCATGTGGGGTGTCCTCCCTCTGTGCAGCCTCACCCAGGGGTCCTCACTCCTCCTCCCGACCCTGCATGTGGGGTGTCCTCCCTCTGTGCAGCCTCACCCAGGGGTCCTCACTCCTCCTCCCGACCCTGCATGTGGGGTGTCCTCCCTCTGTGCAGCCTCACCCAGGGGTCCTCACTCCTCCTCCCGACCCTGCATGTGGGGTGTCCTCCCTCTGTGCAGCCTCACCCAGGGGTCCTCACTCCTCCTCCCGACCCTGCATGTGGGGTGTCCTCCCTCTGTGCAGCCTCACCCAGGGGTCCTCACTCCTCCTCCCGACCCTGCATGTGGGGTGTCCTCCCTCTGTGCAGCCTCACCCAGGGGTCCTCACTCCTCCTCCCGACCCTGCATGTGGGGTGTCCTCCCTCTGTGCAGCCTCACCCAGGGGTCCTCACTCCTCCTCCTGACCCTGCATGTGGGGTGTCCTCCCTCTGTGCAGCCTCACCCAGGGGTCCTCACTCCTCCTCCCGACCCTGCCACTGGAGTCCTCAGCCCTTCTAGCCCCCCTGCTCTGACAGCGGGGGGCCCTCGTTCCCGAGACCAGCTGGCCCACCTGCCGCTCTCCCCCGCCGCCCCCCTCCGGGATGAGGGCTGATTCTGCGCATTTCCCAGCCCAGGGCCAGCCCCCCCACCCCGGCGGCCCTGCCCGCGGCCTCCAGCCTCTGCTGCCTCAGGTCCCCGCAGGCAGCTGTCGCTGGGAACGGACAATGCTGGACACCCCAGACCCTTCGGGGAGGAGCTTTAGGCCCGCCAGCCGGAGGCGAGCCCTCGGAGTTGAGCGCGGTGGCCAGGCACTCCAGCCTTGGTTTTGAAGCGGTGGGAGGTGCTGGACGGGCTTCGAGGGGCGAGGCCCAGGCGGCCGTCGGTGCTGCTGCGCGGTGGTGACGGCGCATGCGTTCGGTGACCGTTTAAAACATGTTCATTCGCGCGGCAGAAGCGGCCACGCTCGCCCGGCGGGTCCTCCGCGCCCTCCGCGCTCCCGGGACGCGGGGAAGCCAGGGGCCCTGCCCGTCGGCGCGGATCTGTTCCGCGGGGTGCTCGCGGGCGGGGGCCCCATCCGGGACCGCAAGGCTGTCCGAACACCCTCCGACAGACGGGGGTGAATCGGTTGCTTTAATAAACCGCGGTTTGGAGCGCGCCGCTGAGCTCCCGTCTGACCAGCCCGCGGCCCCGTCGCCGAAGCGCCGTGGAGACCACAGTCGGGCGCCTGCTTCTGCGCAGAGAAAAGGCTTCGTCGCGAGGCCGACCAGCAAGACGACAGGACACAAGGCCAAGTCTGCCCCGCCGAAGAGGCTTGGGGTGAGATTTGAGGGGTTCACGCGGGCGGNCAGCCTCGCAGCGCCGCGCCGTCGGGGCTGAGCCTCCAGGCCTTAAGTGGTCTCTTTTTAGGGCAATATTTTTCCTTCCACGCAGCCTCTGCAGACTGGCCGAGACCCGTAGAGGCTTGTGGCTCCCCTTCAGGGACTAGGGGATTATTCCGTTCCCGGTGAATCTGACCTGGGCGCCCCTCGGTGACTCCTGCCCTGTGAAAACAGCTGCTTTAGGGATGATCGTGGCTCATCTGCCAACCTGCTGTCACTCCTGTGCGAGCGCTGGCCCTAGACGGCAGCCCCCTAGACGGCAGCCCCCTAGACGGCAGACCCCTAGACGGCAGACCCCTAGACGGCAGCCTCCTAGACGGCAGACCCCTAGACGGCAGCCCCTAGACAGCAGCCCCCTAGACGGCAGACCCCTAGACGGCAGACCCCTAGACTGCAGACCCCTAGACTGCAGCCCCTAGACTGCAGCCGCCCTAGACGGCAGACCTCTAGACTGCAGCCCACCCTAGATGGTAGACCCCTAGATGGCAGACCCTTAGATGGCAGCCCGCAGGTCAGGTCGGAAGCAAACCTAAGTTCCCCAGAGGACTCCCCACAGCCCTCATGACCAGCAGCCTCCTTACTGCCCGGCACCTGTGTTCATTATGCCTCCTCATGGACTTACCAACACCCGCTTTTTTCTTTTAAATGGCCAATCCAACCCTAGCTTGGGGACCCCAAAGCCCTCCTCTCTAACTAAAGTCATGTGCCACCTTAGCCAGTTTTGCTCAGTGGTTAGAGCCTCCGCCCATGGACTGAAGAGTCCCGGGTTCTTCTCAAGGGCACGTACTGCCATTGTGGGTTCAACCCCCAGCAGAGTTGGTTAAATGCAGGAGGCAAATAATTGATGTGTCTCTCACATCGATGTTTTTTTCTCTCTCTCTCTTCCAGACTCTGAAAAAGCAATGGAAAAAGTATCCTCTGGTGAAGATTAAAAAAAAAAAAAAAAATGAAAAGACCTGAAGAAGATGGAGCAAGTCATCAAGTCATATGGATCTAGAAGATAATTTCNAATAGACACAGGCCTAGGTCCTGTCTCTCTGGGCGTCTTCACCTCCCCATGTGGCCCCACCTGCAGGTCTGGTGCTTCTCTCAGAAACTCAGAGTAATAAACTCCTGTTTGAATTTCCCTGTGGCCTGTTGAGCTATAGCTCACCATCCAGCACTCTGTGTTGCACTTAACGTGACTTTAACAAAGTCACAACACTAGTGCATTACAGCAGTTTCCTGGAAGAGGCAAGAGAGAAGCACTGAAGAATGAGCGTCTCCTTCCAATTTTTAAAAAGATGCCCTGAGAGCTGGCAGCAGCTCTAGTGCTATCCAGCAATTTCTCTGTGGACACAGAACTTTCAGGGAACATCTTGCAATGCTCTGGCTGCTCCTACCTAAGCTTCTATCCCACTTACCTCCATTCACCTTCAATCACCTCCATTCTCCTCCATTCACCACCATTCACCACCATTCACCACCATTCACCACCATTCACCTCCATTCACCACCATTCACCTCCATTCTCCTCCATTCACCACCATTCACCTCCATTCACCTCCATTCACCACCATTCACCTCCATTCACCACCATTCACCTCCATTCACCACCATTCACCTCCATTCTCCTCCATTCACCACCATTCACCTCCATTCACCTCCATTCACCACCATTCACCACCATTCACCACCATTCACCACCATTCACCACCATTCACCTCCATTCACCACCATTCTCCTCCATTCGCCACCATTCACCTCCATTCTCCTCCATTCGCCACCATTCGCCACCATTCGCCACCATTCTCCTCCATTCACCACCATTCACCTCCATTCACCTCCATTCACCTCCATTCACCACCATTTTCCTCCATTCTCCTCCATTCACCACCATTCACCTCCATTCACCACCATTCACCACCATTCACCACCATTCACCTCCATTCACCACCATTCACCTCCATTCTCCTCCATTCACCACCATTCACCTCCATTCTCCTCCATTCACCACCATTCACCTCCATTCTCCTCCATTCACCACCATTCACCACCATTCATCACCATTCACCACCATTCACCTCCATTCACCTCCATTCACCTCCATTCACCACCATTTTCCTCCATTCTCCTCCATTCACCACCATTCACCTCCATTCACCACCATTCACCACCACTCACCACCACTCACCACCATTCACCACCATTCTCCTCCATTCACCACCACTCACCTCCATTCGCCACCACTCGCCACCATTCACCTCCATTCACCACCATTCGCCTCCATTCACCACCATTCGCCACCATTCACCACCATTCGCCACGATTCACCTCCATTCGCCACCATTCGCCACCATTCACCACCATTCACCTCCATTCACCACCATTCGCCATCATTCACCTCCATTCACCACCGTTCACCACTATTCACCACCATTCGCCTTCATTCACTTAATTCACCTTCATTCATTTATGCCCCCAAAGCTCAACTAAATCCAGCCCAAAGTGCTTAATACAACTGAAGGCTAGGGGATTACAGACGGAAATTAAAATAGAGGAAAGGAAGAGTAAAGCTTTTATATATCAATGTTCTTTCCTTCCCTTTGCCTGTCAGCTACCCAACTATTGCTTTAGCCCTGAGGTAGATGCCATATTTTAGGGCCCAGCCTACACCTGTAAGTATCTTTGACCATGTCACAAGGGAGGGGTTATATTATTTCCTTACTCCATCCTGTCTCCAGGGGATGTCCCTTGAATGCCATGATAATCTCTGTAAAAACTTCAGCCTGACCAAATGAGGACACTCTGCTGCATGTGTTAATGCAGCTTAGTTTAGCTTTATGTGTTCTGACCTGAGCATTCTGGAACTGAATTTGTCTTTTGCATAATAAAGGCCCATTAATAGATTTTCTTAAAATAAACTTAGTTTGCCTCTTAGCTAAAATAACAAATTGTCTACATTTCTAGCAATTGTTCCTTCAGAATCGCTGGGGTTCCATCTTGGAGCCCCTTACTACACATTTAACAAATATTTAAGGAACTGATGATAGGAGCCAGGCCCTGGGCTAAGCAGGAAGCATATCACTTAAGTGTGGATCACACTTATCTTCCAGTTTGGGGAAATTCACAGGTAAATAAATAGTTTCAAGAAGTTGGCAAAGGGAGACAACAAAAGAATGTACCAGTTAAAAGAGTAGAATGGAGGAGATGTTCTTTTCAACTGAGGCTGCAGGGGGGCGGGGTGTATAAAATCTTCAAAAAGGAGGTGGTCACAGGCTGTTGGCGTGGTAAATAAGCGAGGAAAAGTGTATCCCGTTAGAGTGGCATAAGCAAAGGTGTTTTCAGAAAACCCCCAACAGCTGGGAGTGTTAAAGTGCAGAGATGTGAGGGAATGTCAACAAGGAGATGGAACTAAAAAGCCAAGAAGCATAGAGGATGGAGGGCCCTTTTTGCTGTACCAAAAAATTTGACTTCCAAAGAGAAGCACTAAAAACTGAGCTGGAACAGATTAATGATAAGAGAGCTATGGTTTTATTCCCACCGTACCAAGAATTGATTAGCTGGAGGCACAATTCTTAGACTGACCTGGGAATCCAGGGGAAAAACCATGATGTCTTCAGCCCAGAGTCCCAAACGCTGCAGGTAATCCATGCGGAGCATCTTAACATTTGGAGTTCAGTAGAAGTTGGTAACTTTTTCAGAGTGGTCCAGGTGGAGGCGAGAAGGAGGTGAGCATGTTGGAATCCCGGGTTTGAGATGAAGGAGGAGGGAAGAAACACAGAAGAAGAACAAGGAGGGAGTTGGAAGGGCTTTAGATAAAGTTAAAGCAGAACAGTTTCTAAAATTCTCATCATCTGAATCCCTCTGGGAACACCCCACTCTCTGCCGAAGGCAATCGTGAAAAGCCTTCCCAAGCCCATGGAGCTGGGCAGGGAACTGTTCCAGCCTCCCTCTTCCTACTTCACCTTCCTCCACTATTCCTCCAATTCCAGATTCTCCTGGCTCCCCCTTAGCTGTCACTCCTCACTGAGGGACTGCTGGAATCCAGTCTCCATGATTAGCAACTGCAGACTCCAGATGCACCACCAGGAGAACCCCAGTAAAGAGCAAGTGCACAGACCAAGCTCTGGATAAATTAAGTCACTTGGTAGAGAAAGTGTAAGTGATATACATCCTTCTGGCTATGAAACTATGGTCTATACTCTGGAGTCAGCTGCCCTGCTCACGGACCGTGGGTCTCAAGCACTAAACAGCAGTGCCAAAGAGAACTTAAGAAGCGGCATGCAGCCCATGGGGTGAAGCAGGGTGGAGGTCTCCAGGAGCACCCTTAGTACATGGAGGGATCAGCCCAACAAGCAGCAAGGAAATAGCGATATCAAGACAGAGAAAAAAGCTAGACCCTATTGTCACCCAACTTGGAGGTTAAAAAAAAAAAAAAAATGGCAGAGAGGTAAATATCAAGAAAACCTTCCAGCCCACCATAGAATCTGTGTGTGTGGTAGAGGTTAAACGCTTCCTATTTCTTAGAATAAAATGCATTCAAAAATTTTATCTTGATGCCAGTAGAGTCATAACTATTTCTTTTCCCACACAGTTTCTCCCGGTTGGTTTAGACATTCTCTTGGGAAAAAACAAAAAAAAAAAAACAATGTTCCAGCAGGTGTCTCTCTCTGCACGGGGTACAAAAAACTCTTAGCAGCAGCAATGGAATGTTTTTGTTTTGCCTACCCGTCTTACAGAGTAAGTGGAGATGGTTTCAAACTATGTCAAAGCTCTTCTTTTTGCACTATTATGTCCCATGTTATCATCTGAGTGATGACTATACGTGTGTCATCATGTGATAACTTTTCTAGCTGCACATTTTTACTTTTAGGCACTTTTTGTTTATACATTATACTTAAAAATAAAGTTTATTTTTATAAAGCTAAAGTCCTTAATTTCACTTCCACTTATATGTTTTCTTGCTTTTATGCTTCATTTTTTTAAGTACATAGGACATCAGAAATCTTTTTATTCAACTTTCCTTATTTGTAAGAAATTGGCTGTTTTATTTTATTGAATTTTATACATATTTTATAAATAACGATACTTGGAGTATGTATTAGAAAGAAATAGAAAAGTAAATTAAAACGTAGCTGTTGCATTTAAAATAAAAATCATACTTGTTTGAGAGTCAGGATTACCCAGTAAACCGCGTTGTTTTCCAGTTGCAAACTTTCAGAGGAGGCTTTGGGATCCAGGCTTCGGGGCTGGATCCCAAAGGTCGGGTGGGTTGAGAACTGGGCTTCCTGACAGGTTTGTTCATTCCTGGTCCCAACCACTTGACTTATTGTGAGCAACAGAGAAACGGCTGCAAACCACCCCTTGTCAAGCCAGCAAATGACACCTGAAGTACGGTGCTTGAGAGAAATGCTTACATTAAACTAAAAAGTGCAAAAATTAAAATCCTATTAAAATCGCTGAGACCAGATTTCTTCAAAACACTCAGACTGCTGTTTTTATTTCTGTTTTAAACTCAAGTTTTCTTCATTCATTATTTTATTATGTCTATACCTATCATTTCTTTCCATCGTTATTTTTATGCCCTCTTTAATCTCTCACTTCTCAAATTCTAAGAAACAAACAAAAATCAACATTTTAGTGGGACTTTTAATAACGCATATATTTTCCCTTTACACAATTAACATTGGGCCATAAAAAAAACTTCACTCTGACCACTAATAAAAGACTTTCTAATAGTATTAGAGTAATTGCCCTAATTCTCTCTTGGAAGAAATATCCATTAAGATCCTTCGTATGTGTGTGGAACGGACCAAATGGCAACACGCCTGGTCTGAAGCAGTCACACTGCCCGGGCGAGGTGCCGCGGGACCCCGCGCGTCGCAGGCACCGCCTCCGCAGGCGCTGCGCCAACGCGGGGCACAGAGCCCTTGCTGCCCGCGGCCTCGTCCAAGGGTGGTTTCGAATACCAACAGCACACTGGGCGGTGCCCACGGCGCAGGCCCGCGGGTCCAGGCCTGCCTGCTGCAGGACCCGGGCTACGCGGCCCGGCCAGCGCCACTCGGCGCCCCCAAA